AATAACATTTTCCCCCTAATTCACTTCTAATTTCTATTTTCGAGATGTAAAGAAGATAGAATGACGAAAAACATTTTTTTCTACACATGTGCACAGTTTCGTTTTACTTCATTTCCTGCAGAGTATTTTGTTCCAACCAATTACTCTGTTATTGTAAAATTTGTTTCCACTAGAACCGATCTTCTTGAACCGCAAAAATGTACTCCTACAAAGCACATGATAAGTCTCTAATCTGCAAAATTTAACTTCCGAAAACATTATCAAACCTCAAACATTCAAGCTTTACTATATTCAAATTAATCATCCCTCATGGAGGTATTATGTAATGACCAAGACAAGCACGCGTAACAAAGAGCGTGACCGACACGTGTCACATCATGTGTTATTACCAAACTAATTATAAAATTTCTAAGTATAGGATTAAAAACTTCACTGCCGAAACTTAAATGCGCTACAGTTTATAATTATTTCGAAGCCGAGTCGGCGTCTACATACACATGCATAACAATATTTACCGCATATACCCAATTGAATAAGGGTGGGACAAAATGCTTTGACTAATGCGAATACCAAGATTAAATAATAGAAATAAATAATACGAATACCAAGATTAAATAATAAAAATAAAGGACGGTGGGAAGAGGCTGGCCTCACGGGAAGTCTGGCTGGTCCAGCACTCCCACGCAAGAAAAAAAATTTTATTAGCCGGTGGTAAATTTGATTCTATTACAGTATAGAACATGCATTACTTTAAGCCTGTTGCATGCACTAAATCGAGTTATCTTAGAACTCTGTTTATGAGTGCAGATCTTGTTCACTGGCGCGTGCCATTTCGAAATCGGAACAAAACAAAGTATTGCTTCCCCTCCCAAGGGAATAAAGGTCACACCTTAAAACGTATGGTTACTTCATTAGGCAGAGGTCCAAGCAACAAACCTGATAGGTTATCCATCAGCTCGCCATTCGGCACAAGTAATCTTTCAACTCGTTTTAACGGGAAATCAACGAAGATGGAGCCCAAGGCAAATAAGAATTCGCACCTTCTTATCTTTGGCCTTTCATTCAATTTAATCCTGACGTTAGGCTCACTTGGTTTCACGAGCTGTTCTCTGCATTGATTAGATGCAGAGAATAGCTCGTTTATTAACAACACTTGAGCAAAACTCACTGCTTACAAACGCTACGTATCGGCTTTCCAATCCTGTAGTATTTGAATCAACATCTACATACTCACCCAAGTGGATCATTAAAGAAAGAAACTGGTCTCGTCCGGAGAGCTGCTCAACGACCCTCCATGTGCCGCAAATGTAAAACCGTCTACGTGAACTCAAATGACCAACGAAGAGTAAGTTTTTTTTTAATTTTTCTTCCTTGTGCTTTTTTCACAAATGCCCATGGACCTCCTCAATGATATTAAAAACAGCTTACCAAATTTAAAAAAAAAATGCTAGAAGGTAACATATTTCATCTTGTAGGACCTCAAGGCTTACCGGGTCCTCCCGGTATACCTGGACGCACTGGTCCCCAGGGCCCACCCGGATCGAGCGGTAGGAGGGGAAGAAAAGGACTAATGGGGTGCCAGGACCTCAGGGAAAACGCGGCACAAGAGGACCACCGGGACCCCTGGCAAACCAGCGCAAC